GAGAGAGAGAGAGAGAGAGAGAGAGAGAGAGAGAGAGAGAGAAAATAAAGGAGAGGAAAGGGAGGCCGGATAGGCGAGGTATAGGGGAGTGGCAGAAGGACAAAGACAAGCTCCTCTGACTCTAGCAAATGCTAACACGATATGAGGTGAGTATTCCTTTTCTCTTTTCCATGTCAGAACTTAAAACGTGTCTATTCCTTTTAAATATGGTTTCGTGGCAATATAGTGTTATTGTTTGTTTGTAAGTGAAGCTCAAAGAGTAGCAAAGAATCATCACTGCGATCAAAGCTCAACCACCAAAGACTTAAGAAAGGTAAGATTCATCTAACATGTTAACCTAGATTATGAATTAGTGCAATCTAAATCATGTTTTAATTTGATAAAATTGAAAGCTATAAGAGATAGGGGGTTTATAATCGTCGTTATTGGAATGTATATAAGTTGTGATTCTATTTGGATCTTATGTCAATAGAAAGAGTCAGGAATTGTTGATGACAATGTTGAGAGCCAGTAAGAGCAACAAAGGATAAGACTCCAAGTGGGTGGGGCTCTAAGTTTAGTTTTGGGCTTCTAGTAAGTCAAGATTGGACTTGATAGTGGGCTTAAGCCAAATCGCAAACGGGCCAAACATGGGGAAGCAATCTTGACCCAGCAGGAAGTCTAGGATCCTTTAAAAAAAAATGAATGGGCTAAGTCCAATAAATAAAGAGAGTCGGTCCTAGTAAATTTAACCCCAAAGTCTTAAAATGGGCCTATTTCGAATAGTTCAAACGAATAAACCTAATTCACTTTGTGAAGCTAAAACAAAAACCCTTTAAAAATAGTGAACATTAATTAGAGTAAAGCAAGTGATAATTAAGAAAATGGATCTATATATGGGCCTGAATCCATGATAAAATTTTAGAATAATATGACAAACGGGCGAGACTAATAACAAAATAACGAGTTGTGTCAAAAATTAAAGTCCGGTAAAAATAAAAGGAAAGAGACTTATAATAGGGACGGTGGATTGATAGTCCAAATAATTCAAAATAAATTAAATTGATGATTTTAAATGGGTTAATATGTAGACTGATATACCTATTGGACTTGACTAGTTTTAAATTTGATAGTGGGCCTTAGTAGATAATAAAGTTGGGAATGATGATAAAATTACTATAATTAAACTTAGGTAGACAATAACAAGGAACATTACTACAATGAAGCCTCATGAGTATTTATTAGCGAACGATTGTTACAAAAATATAATTTAAAACTAAACAAGAGATAGAGAAAATTAACTAGAAAGTAAATAAAAAATATTACGAGATATTCAAAATAAGACAATAGTAAGGATGATAAGGGAATTGTAAAACTTAACAGAAAAGTATACGTAAGAAAGGAAGAATTAGGTAAGTAACATAAAATAAATAAGCGAATACAAAATGAAGGATCATGGAAGGAGGATTTAAAAAGATATTGAGAAGATACAGGTAAAGTGAGATGGAAAGAAAAACATAAGTTTTGAGAATGTGATGTGTTTGAATTGGTATATCATTTAATCATCTATCAAGAAGGGTTGTGTGCGTGTGTAGCCATGATACAGTTGATATGTGGATATGATTTATGTGAACTCTTTCATTTGGACGAGAGAGATTATTGATGATAATGTGCATTGTACTTACTGTGTGATCTCGTATGAATGCAATTACGTTTTAAGTCCTTTTGTATTAGTGAGGATACAATTGTGACTCCAATGATTGTGTTTTTGGGAGGATGATGTGTGTGTGTGCGTGTGGCCAGCTACGGTCTAGTGGTGAACCCGTCCCAAAGAGCGTGTAATATCCTGTACCATACTAGGTGAGCAGAGGGACGGGTGTGTGTGTGGTCGTTACGGTCGAGTTTGAGCTCGTCTGTTGGTAGTATCGTATGGTCTCTATTGGCATTTATTGGTGATTTATGTCCATGTGTTAGTGGTAGTATTGAATATTTCCTCTTGATAATGATGTAACGGTATCGTACGATGAGACACAGATATCTACTTGTGATATAAGATATGATAGTACGCTAAATTA